ACCCAGATTATCTTTACCCGAAAATCAAGCTATGATTCAGAATCATAGAATTCAGCGAGAGGTTGATAATATTAGACAGTATTTTCAAAGCCCAATTACAATAACACCTACGTTAAATGATATTGTAAATTATCTTAATATATTCTCTGATACTGGTAATAGGCTTGAACGATTGGTACTAGAAATATACCCACGGGCAAATGCTTATGCAATTAATGCTGAAAACCGAGTAGCAGATTTGCAAACTCAGCTAACAAATTTGCAAACCTAGTTAGCTAATTTACAAACCCAGTTAGACATACTTCAAAATGACTATGATCTTCTTTATCAGGCTTATGAGGCCTACAGATCACAACATAGTATATTTAAATCCTGAGAACTTGATGGTCAAATTACAATCTGTACGCAAAAAAGACAAATATCAGAGTTGTTAGCAGAAAAATTTATATTATGTCTTTTAAATAGACGAACTCAAAAGCAATTACAAAATTGTGAAGCTGATAGAGTGACAACCGCACATCTCTTAAATCTTACAAAAAATCGATATATCAAATAGAAGAGAAAATACAAGACTTTAAAAAATGACCTATTACTTGCTAATATTCAGCTCAATCTTAAGTGGGTAAGTGAAAAGCCCGAGCCCGAAATTCTGAACAATTAATTAATAATTTAAATCAACAAATTTTTGCGCTACAGAATAACCTACCTATAAATAACAATAGAAGAGGTATAGCAGGATATGCACCTCCAACTTACCACAGATATTCCGATAAAGATCCAGAGGAGTTTATTGATTCTTTTCGTTTATATCTTGTGGCTGCCGGAATCGATGTAGCTGGTAAGCATGCTAATAGAGTTCGTGCATATGGACTTTTTAAAATATGCCTTAAAGGCGATGCCAAAGATTGGTATGAAAGGTCTCTTCAAAGAAAGAATTGGAAACTGGGAAATTTATTGGATAACACTGGGCAGGCCACTTTAGCTCTGGTTCAAGGACGAATAGTGGTGCAACTTGGTGCAAATTTAAGACATGGTGCTGTGGATCAAGCCGAAAATATTCTTATTCCAGCTTATACAGTATTTGATGAGGACTGGTTTTTTGCTGATGGTTGTCCAACTGATCGTATAATAAATCTACCAAATTCCAACATTGGTCAATCTGTGGTAGCAGGTGGGGTTTGACTTGGTCAGGTAATATACTGGCTCAAAACTAACTATCCAACTATTACTGCAGAGAAACAACGAATGATCTTTGGATTAGCAGTTCAGGGTAGTGATCTCGTTGATCGTTTTTATTCAAAATTGTGTAAATTGGCTAGACTTGCTGGCATTAATGAACAACAAATTCGATTACAATTTCTTCACGGCATCTTCCCTGATAATCAATTAGAAATTTGACGCATTGGAATTAACAGGCCTGTTTCTGAATTGCTTACAGAACTTGAAGAGATTGAAAGATATAAGGCCGAGCAATTATCTGGAGCTTATCTGTATTCAAATTCAGATTTGATATCAACAAGAAAAACCTATAATGTAGATACTAACAAATTGGTGATAACTAAAACTGAAATTGAAGAGTTGGTAAGAAATACAATAGCATCTACTCAATCTCTGCCAGGTGACAAGTTGAAACATCCTAGTCAAATAGAACCAGGTAAAATATATCAAGACCCAAATTTGCGATTGAATAATCAAGAATAGTTGCAAGGCTTTGGTACTCTAGAGCGTCTTAACGACATGGCTGGTCCATCTACTATACAAATAGTAATAGATACAATTACTAAAGGGTAGTTAATAAATTCTCTTCCTTCTTACCTAAGAAAAGTAATGAAAAGAGATCAAAAAATTATGAGGATGACTCTAATGAAGAGCTGGCTAATCATATGAGTGAGCTATCAATAAATGTAGTTGTAAATAAAGCTGTGAAAAAAGCTATGAAAACACAACACAGATGTTCAAAGTGTAATAAGATTGGGCATCGTTCAAATTCTCCTAAATGTCCGAGAAATAAAAAGAAGAGTAGGTCCAAGAAGAAAGGTAATATTAATAAGGTTACTCTAAATTCAAGCTCAGATATTAACAATTCTTCTGGTAGCAATTCTGGATCTGATTCTGAAACAGGATCTGATGCTGAGAATTCATCTTCTGAATCTGAGTCTGAAAGTGATATCAAAGTTCATATTACCAAGGCAAAAAAAGTAAAACAGAAGAGCGCTCCTACTAAATCATCCTCTAAGAAGAAATCTAAACTTTGCAAAAAAAAACAGAAGGATCCTTCCACTTCTGATAAATTCTGAAATAAATTAACTGTTATTGGCCATGCCAGCCCTGCTGATAAGTCTCTCCAAAAGATTGTATTAGAAATGTTTGATGGTATTGCACCCATAGATTGGATAGAAAAACTCAAAGTTAAAATTGAGAACTCATCCGATATGCATTCATCTACCAAAAAATCTGATTTTACAAATTATAGAGAACCAGTTCAAGAAATACCTGATTCAGATGGGGAAGAGGAGATGTTAGATGATCCTATGGAGATTGATTTTGTAAAAAAGGAAGAACCCAATACAAGTATTGCAACTATACTAGTTAAAATCAAGCGTTTAAAAATTCCAGCAATGGTGATTGATAGTGGAGCTGAACCTGCAATTATATCAGAAGATATTGTTAAACGTGTAGGTAGAAAGATTGATAAATCAGTAATATATGATTTCAGTGAGGCTGCCACCATTCCAACAGAATCTATTGGTATCATCCATAATTTACCAATAACAATTCCTCCAGGTTTTACTATACGTGAAGATTATATAGTTGTGAGAACTCCTAAACCAATATTATTATTTCCAAATCCACACCTTAAAAAATACAAATGTGCTATAGATTGGGACAAAGATGAGTTAAAAATTTCTTTTAATAGAAAAGATCATATCATCCCTGTAACTATGATCAAAGAAAGAAATGTATAATACAACTAAAATTATCACTAATCTTAATGCTCTCATTCATTGCTACATTGGATTACCTAATAAAGAAAATAAAAAGTAGAATAGACAAACTTT